TTTGGGGGGGGGGGGGGGGGGTGCATACAACAATATTCCTGAATTGCAAAAATTCCAAAGTTTGTTGCTCAAAGTAGATGCAGACTATAAGTTTCTCTTTGCTGTAGAGTTTTAGTAGGACGTAAAACTCCATTCATTTCATTTCATTTCTGCTATAGAGTTTGGAGAATTCACATTACTAATGATGTTTATTAATTAATTCAGTAGTCTATAAGTTAGAGATCATCTCTTCGAATTTTCTGATCATTCACGTCCTTTTTTCCCCGCCATTCAGAGAATGTGTGAATTAACCCACATAGATTTACGAAACGAAATACTTCTGTAATTGAATCGGGTCGGGTATTTTTACAGTGTATTATTCACATTCTTTTCTGTATCTGTGAATATCCATTAATCAAAACATCAAAACATAAATCTATTATATTTCTTTATATATTCTATAGAATTCTATAGAATACCGGGCGTTTATGAGGATGGTTTGAATAAGAGTCAAAAGAATAGTGAATCAAACATAGCCATTCATACTCAAAACTAACTACAATCAAGTTCGGCCTTATATGTTTTATTAACAAAAGAGCAACTCTGCATTAACCATAGAGGCATGTATTATACAAAAAGCAATTTAGGAAATGGAAAGTATTAGCACATACAATTGTTAAGAAAATGATAAGAAGAATTACAGATTAAGTCCTCAAATTATATTTTATAGGCAGTTGATGGACCATATCCCTTTTTTCAAAATTTAAAGTGAATGTAAAGAGGTTTTCTAAACTTCTATCAAGGATACTGATAGCACCAATTTGCACCATTCCAATTTTCATTCCGACGTCTCTGGTTCTTGCAATTCCACCAAAACTAACGCGTTTTATGACGTCTCTAGAGGGGGACTGCATAGATATCAATAGTAGCTCTAGTGACGTCATAAAACGCGTTAGTTTTAGTGGAATTCCACAGACGTCGGAATGAAAATTGGAATGGTGCAAAATCGAAGCTATCAGTGTCCCCGATACAAATAAGAAATTTAGAAAACCCCTTTACAATCCCTTTAACTTAAACGTACAGTTTGTCTTTGATATTATATAGAAAGGAGTGAGCCTCGAGCTTCTTTTATGAAAAATAAGCTTCAATTAATTGCATTCGATTCGAAGTAAATTTTTCATGTCAAAAAGTGACATATAACTGAAATTACGTATTGCTGCTTATTAAACGAAAAAGCAGACTAGAATATTTTAATTAACGATTTACTTTATGTATTCTAATTATTGTCATTTTAGATTGTAACATAAAACAGTTGGTATGGAAAGAAAAAATTGGAGTTTTCCGTCACATGTTCGTGCCTGATTTAACTCGGGAACACGGGTAGCAATAAATAAAGTGGAGTAAAGAGGTAAGTCCACATTTATATTAAAATTAAATCACATGTAATCTATGTTTCATCGGTTTCAGAGTAGAAAAATCCGGTCTCGTATCGATAACGAGATATCCCGTGGAGTGGCGAGAGATTTTAACTGTCATTTTATGACTGGGTTTAAGAAGTCTTGAATACCCAGCACGCTTTTAAAAGAATGTTTACATCATGTTTTATGACCTCTTTTATAAGACATAATCCACATTTATTCTGTTAATCCGACTGCGTTTTGTCCGCAAGGTTGTTACAAGCTAAGTTTACGTGTGATAAATAGAATGCGTCAATTATCTTCCGTTTCAAAGAATGTTAAGATCAGTTTTATGACCCTTTTCAGAAAATCCAATCTCCGTATTTTCTGTTAATCCGACTCTGTTCAGAACGCAGGGTTCTTACAGACAGTATGGTCCGACTGGCGACATTTAGAACATTATTTTAGATTGATATATTGAATATGTCAAAATTGAAAGAGAGCTTTTTGCGTCATATTTACGACCACTTTATCCTGCATTTTTCTTTTAATCCGACTGTCATGATTTTGCAGACAGTGACACCCCACTGCAGACATTTCAGAAAAAAAGACGACGATATGCATATTTTAGAACAATTTCGGTTTTGTCCATATCAGTTAGCTGATCTCGGCATTCCGAGTTAGATTTAAACTTTTAGAGTTAAAGGGATTGTAAAGAGGTCTTCTAAAATAATTTATGTGTATCAATTTGTGCCATTCCAATTTGTAATCAGAAATGTCTGTGGTTCCTGCNATTCCNCTANAACTAANTGTTTGATGACTTCATTAATTTTATGTGATCNCATATTAATTGNNAAATATTCACNTCATCAAACACTTAGTTTTAGTGGAATTGCAGGAACCACAGACATCTGTAAGAAGACATAATTGGCCCATGATAAAGAATATGTGGCGCTTCCGTCATTATTGTGGTATTGCACTGGCCCAGGTCACAAGACATTGTAATTTTCGATCTTTATTCTCTAATAAACTACAATGAATTAAGCAAATATTTCTTCATTATTTATTACGATTCAATCAGTAGGGGGAAATGTGACTTTTCGGTCATAACCTTGGTGTAATATTGGAAGATTATTTTCTAATAAAGTACAGAATGAGTCAATCTGAATAATCTGATCGATAACATTACAGGCAGATGATCTAAAAAATAAATAAACTGACACTTGAGATTGGGGTTTATAACAAAGGTCAAAGGTCACGGCTATAGTTGACCCTATGTCCGCAGGTGGACCACAGTAAATAAAAGATGTTATGTTTAGTTAAAAGGTATACTACCTCTGCCTCTACCTAGGATGACGAAAAAAAAATTAAAAATGAGTCTTTGTTCATCAGTGAACTTACCTGGTGTCATAACTATACAACAGAATCTCTCTATAATCTAATAAATCTATAAAACTAAGTAATAATTCATTAAACTAAGTAATTTTGAAATATGCTTAGAAGCGTGTTTCAATAGTTTTTTAGTTTAATGGAAACATTACCTTATATAGAGATTCTATTCTTTAGTCATGGTACCTGGAAAGTCCAACTGATGAATATAGACACTTATTGACCAAGTTTGAGACTTTAAATTTGATGTTTCTTCTAAGAGGTACTATTCGTTCAATATCCTATTTCCTGGTACCCTTTGCTCGTCAGTTATGTCGTCAGTTAACAGGTTACAATGGTTAAGGATCAAGATATCACCCACAAAATCTGCAATATTGGGACACTCGAGAGAAGCACTTCTAAATACTAATCACCCCATGTGATATTTTCTGATATCCTTGGGGAGTTCCAGTATCTGGGGACTCGAGTCTTATTCTCGATTTTCCACATTTTCACGGAGTTCTTTGCCCAACTTTACATTAGCTGGCTTAAAGTTCATCTTCGCTTCACTTGGATCGGAGCCGTTTAGTATCTGTGTCATAAACGAAATGTATCCCATGGCAAGTCGCAACGTTTCTATTCGCGACAAACGTCGTTCATATTTAAATGTAGGAACACGGCGTCTCAATACGTCAAACGCTTCGTTTAGATTCAACATACGTTTGCGTTCGCGAATATTTGCAGCACGTCTCTGAGCTAACGACGGACAACGTCGTTTCTTGCTGCGATCGTCTTTATAAGTGTCGTTCACGCTAGCGTAACTGAGAGATGAATGTCGCGATGGGAAAGGATAGTCCCTTGTCCAAAATAAACTTGAGGGTAAAACTGGCTGAAAGTGTGATTCTGTTAAAATATTCGACGGCGAATCTCTGAGATACAATGGAGGAATATCAAGTTCACAGGGCGCTGTTAAAATTCCAGAACTATTGTACATATACCCAGAGTAAGTTTCGTGTCCAGATCTGTTTTTGTGCGAAAAACAACTTTCATTTTCGGATTCGGGTCCCGACGAACTGCTTGATATTTCACTCATTGTGTTCGGAATTTCACAGCAATATTCCCCGTTCTCCGACCATGTAACTCGAAATCGACGTCTTGGTACAATTTAGGACGTAAAACTCCATCTTATATCCAAAGCACAGTTATTGTCAGTTTTGTTCCACGACATTGGTTTGCTCAATCGATTTCGCTTTTTTGAACCAAGAAAGTTACTAACGTACAAACTTACAAGAGCTTTTATAGTAAGTGTGTACAGTTGCCAACTTTGTCGTCTGTTTGTTGTCTAAAACTGGAAACTTCTTCGACGTTCTTGCATATATCTCTACAAAAATGAACATTAAATGCGTTAGAACTCAGCCCATGATGCATTTCAGATACACAATCAAGTTATGCATATATGAGTAAATTCATCGAATTCACGAAACACTGTATTCTTGTCTGATGCTGTGTTTATTCGAATCAGAATATCAAAATGTCGGTGAAATTTATTTGCTTCGGAAAAACCAAATCACACATATTCTACGACGACACCAAAAACTGATTCCCAAATTGAAAATACTTAAAGTTTGTAATTATTTGTAATTTCCTTCAAAAAATATTTAAAACTGCACTAATTCCTGGAAGATTGGCACTGGAGGAAGAAAAATCTGAAATTCTCGGATTGAGAAAATGGTGTACCGGTATGTTACTAAAAACTTTCTTTTTATAATGAATAAGAAGAGGCCTTGCACAAAAATACACGTATTCCTTTAAGACTGGAGAAACCAAACTAGCGACTTAACCGATTCCCAAATTAATAAAATCAGTTTGGAATTGGGGATGTTTTCTCTAAGGTTAGATTAAAGACAAATCAGGAATTTTGTCAAAGAAAGCGGATTGTAAATGAAGTGTTTGGGGTCGATGGTGGAATTGGTAATGAGGAAACAATGTTTTCACGTCAAACTGTTGAAGACTTCCAGTTTATTAAATTCTTTTCGTAATTGGAATTTCATCAGACGGGTGAATGCTCAAAGTTGGGTTTCCTCTAAATATGATAAAAGTGTTTTTATAAAATGAGTTATTATAAGATACTGTTATTTGTCGAGACTTCAGGCAATGTTTTTCAAATTTTATCATATCTAATTAGTCGGGTTACCTTAATAGAGTTTGGTTTCTCACAATTTACTATTGATAACATATTTTTCTTAGATGAGTTCAATGCTGTTATTTCAAGAGGCTTTTGGTAATGGAATTTCATCATCATTGTAGCTTCCAAAGATTAGTGGCGTATAGCCACTTGTACGAGTGTAATACTATTGCTTATCGGGACTTCGGCTAACTTCTTTTTGTAATCGCCCAAATTCTTTTTGTAATCGCCTGGCCCAATATCAGTGTGCCCAAAAAAGAATGTGCCTATATGAACATGTGCTAAATGATTATGTACCCAAAATTGGAGTGCTTAATTGAAGGTGTTTCTTCATTGTGCCTATATTACGCTTTGCCTGTATGACCTGGAGCCGCGGTGGCTCAGTGAGTTAGACGCTTGCTTGCTAACCTGAAGGTTCAGGGTTCAATCCCGGCATAGGTCGAGATAATACCTTCGGATTTTTCAACCCGGTTTCCCCCTGTCAGTGATGCAGGTACGAGGGCTGACATGGAAAAAGCGTCTAGTCGTTCAGATGGGACAATAAACCGAGGCCCATGTGCTACAGGCTGTGCACGTTAAAGATCCTTCGACAGTTGGAAATCGAAAAAAAGAGCAGGCTAATGCAGCTGTTTTGGCAAAATTTCCCTCATTGCACCCTACATGGCGTTGCCCGTCTGGTGCAGAAAAGTACATTTCATTACATTTGCCTGTATGACCTGTGCCCAAATGAACACGTGCCTAAAAGAGGTATGCCTAATATACCGTGTCATATTTCTATTTTGAAATGCGTGTTACAGGTAGCTGAAATCAAGATGCTATCTGTTCATATATCACACAGTTTTGAAGGCAATCCAGCTTTAACTGTTCACCTACAGAGAGATATTAACCCGTTTGAAGAAAAATCTGTCAATTTGTCGCGGAAATTAGCATTAATTCAAAACAAATACTTCCAAATTAATTCCTAAGTTTAGTCAGTAAACATACAGAGGTTTTAATTGATGTCTGATAAGATTTAACATAGGTCATTGGTTCAAATCTAGTCCGATAAGAATTCGACCAGTCGACCCTTTCCATGAAAACTATTTCGTCCATTTGAATATAACAAAAGTCTGCGTTATGATATTTTAAAATCCATATAGAGAAACTTGATCTATTAAAAGCGTTGTAGTCACTAAGAAAAACGTTTGATCAAGTTGACCAATATTGAGACACGATTAAAGGGACAGAGCGGTTTTTTGCGGTTTGATTTAAATATTGAGTATATATGTAAATAGTCTTCAAAAATCAAACATTTTAAATCTGAAAAATTAAGTATGCGGAACTTATAAGTGTTAATTCAAGATGGCTACCAAGATGGCTTTTCGTGCACTTTAACCTACAGTTTAACTATTCAAACATTCAATTCAAGATGGCCGTCAAGATTGCTGGGCTTAAAACTCGTGCCAAAATATAGGGTTAAAGCTTCTGCCAAAATTTTAGATATCAACAAATGTAATCTACATACAATTTGGAATCCTTTTGAATAATATCTTAAATTTGGTGAGTTATTTGAATTTTGAAATTACTAAATCAAAATGGTCAAAATGGTCTTTTTGCTGAAAGCCTGCATGTGCCTAACTTTTGAACATCAACAAAAAGGAACTTACATGCAGTCGGGAATCCTTGTAGTTCTGAAATCTGTTAAAACTATTCAATTTGCAATGAAAACATGATGTATGTATATATATAAACGCTATGCTGTAAGCTGTTGCCCCTATCCCGATATAGGCACAGCTTGGATCAAATCACTGTCATATGTCGCTGGTGTACAAAAAAAAAGACAGCTGAAATACTGCTTAAATGTATGGAATTTAAAAGAAAAACGAATTATGCGGGGCTGAATTGTGATGAAATTGTTACTGATGAATGCGGTTGAGATTTACGTTCCACATTTCTGCATCTTATTGAGTTAATGAAATGAACTGGAGTTTCTCTATGTGGACGTATATTGTCGGCACCCCTGTCCGTCCGTCGGTCCGTCCGTCCGTCAACATTTGCTTGTAAACGCTGTAAGATGGAATCAAATGAAATTCGGTATGTGTATACATATTTATAAAACGAAGATCAAGTTCGAATTTGAGCTATTTTCGACCGTTAGAAGCAGAGTTATTGCCCTTGCCCCAGAATCTTGAATTTTTACCACCTGCATGCCGTGGTGGGCGTATATGGCTGTGGTCTACTATCTTTAGTTTAATTGTCCAGTACCTTATTGGGCTGATGAAATTGAATGGAATTTTAAGTTTAATTGTCCAGTACCTAATTGGGCTGATGGAATGAAATAGAGTTTATGTTTAATTGTTCAGTATCTTATTGGACTAATGAAATGAAATGGAACTTAATGTTTGTTCAGTACCTTCTTGGGCTAATGAAATGAAATGGAGTTCTATGTCCTATTGTTCTGAAACTTACTGAGCTAATGAAATGAAATAGAGTTTTATGACCCATTGTTCTGAAGTTTACTGAGCTAATGAAATGAAATAGAGTTATATGTCCTATTGCTCTTAAACTTATTGATCTAATGAAATGAAGTTTAAGTTTAATTGTCCAGTGCCTTATTGGTCTAATGAAATTAAATGGAGTTTTAAGTTGTGGCTAATGAAATGAACATAACTTTTGTCTGTAATTTTCTGATGCTGAATTTGAATTTCAAAAACTATTTAGAAGCGGAAAAACACAGAATGAAAAGCATTTATCATGCCAGTTAAAATACATTATGCAGTTGCGATTGCCGGGCTTAAGGATATTAATAGTGCATTAAGAGCCTCCATACAGAGTCGGAGATGGTCGGTTCTTTGTTCCTTAATGATTACAAACCGTTCTTTTGTTTCATCAATCATAAACGCCGATAGGTGGCGCCTTTATCTTCCGTGCTCTTTGAAGCCAGCACGCACGTGCACAGGTAGGAATGATCGTTTTTCATGAAAACTAGATCTAAGACACACGCCTAACTTTCTGATGCGTCAAGGCTAGTTGCGACTTCTAACGACAAGTATTATAATTGCTCAAAGTGAAAATTGAAAAAAATTAGCACGCAGTCGTCTCGCACGACAGAGTTTCAACGACGTAACACCGATCCTAACGATAACGCTGTAACTTACGTACGTTTCTGTAGAACGTCGAAATATACACGTAACTTGCGGCACGTGTCTTCATCTTAAATACGCGCTAGGTCACGTGACTTGTGATACGTGCACGGCATGAAGTCGGATATTCAAAATATGTAAAGAGCTATAATGGGTCGTTATCAGTGTTGGCTTCAGGGTGAACGTGTATCAACTTAACTTAGATGTTCATTCCCGCTTTACTTTTATCCTACTCTTGTGAGTGATGTTTTTAGGCGGATGCTAAAGCGCTGATGTAAATCTTCACTTTTTTTTCTAGTCTCTATTTGTACTTCCTGTTTCTGATAATTTTTCTTCGTTACACACTGCATTGCGTTCCCCTTATTCATTTTTCTAAAAGGATGGGACAGAATACGGTTTATGATGGGCGACGTAACAGAAAGTAAGAATTTGAGGGCTGTTCGAGCCCTAATTCAGAGAAAGAATATACCCTTT